ACTATCGGGAGAAGGGTTTTTGATATGAAAAATGTAATAAATTACATGAGAATAATAACTTGATGCGGAAGCTATATGATTTGACTCGTGGGGGGTTTTCATAAATTAATGACCTCAGGTTATGAATTCACAAAACAAACAACAAAACTTAATGATTTAATTCATGTTTGATTACGCTATTGGAAGATATGTAATTAGATTGGATTAAAAAAGCTAACAAAATATCGGGAGAGCTTGTTAGTGATTTTAGGGTTGTTTCCCCGACTTGAACAATTAAAGTTGATCAACAAACTAATAAATAAATTGGATAGAGTTAAGTGAAATCAAAATCCCTAGTAGCTTTAAATCATTTATTTCTTTCCTTCAAATATTGTTGCTTGATTTATTTTTGTTCTCTTTTAATTATTTATTTTTCTTACAATAACTGCCCCTTATTGCTGTTTAAATAATAATAGGTTAACACAATTTTGGTACTTGATAAACAATCTCTGTGGAGACGATACTCTACTCATTATATATTACTTGCTGCGATTTCATACACTTACGAAAATCACTGTCAAGTTTTTGGCGCCGTTGTCGGGGATTGGCGTTATCAATATCAATACTAATTACCCTATTATTAATTTAGACATTTAGAAAATCACTGTCAAAGTTTTTTGTCGCCGTTGTCGGGGATTGGCGTTATCATATCAATACTAAGTTACCTATTTATTAATTTAGACATTTACTTTTTTGTTTTTATTTAACTTTCTTTTAGAGATTATTTTCCAAGGGGTTTATGCAAAGAAAGATCAGGTAGGACTGAAACCCCTAATCTTTTGATCCAAAAAATTGACAAGACTTATCGTCAGGAACAATGCTGGCTGAGAAGAGCACGTGAAAGCAAACCCGAACAGCAAGCAGACATTGGACGACTGCAAGTCCAACCTAAGAAAAACAAGACCTCAACCTCAATGCCACACCTTCGAGATTACAGATTACACAACACCTTCTCTTAATGGAACAACCTCGAGTATCACTAGACCTAGGGTGGAAGCTAAAAATTTTGAAATTAAACCTGCAATTATCCAAATGGTTTCCACCTCAATTCAATATGGAGGTTTACCTAATGAAGATCCTAATGACTATATCACAAATTTCCTGGAGATTTATGATACCTTCAAACAAAATGGTGTTTCCAAGGACGCCATAAAACTAAGGCTCTTCCCTTTCACTCTTAGGGACAAAGCATGATCTTGGTTAAAATCATGCCCTGCTAGAAGTTTTACAACATGGGAGGAATTAGCCCAAAAATTTTTAGCAAAATTCTTTCCATCTTCAAAGACCACAAAACTGCGCAATGCAATGAGATAATGACCTTTGCCCACCATGATGAAGAGAGTTTGTATGAAGCTTGGGAAAGATTCAAGGACTTATTGAGAAGGTGTCCACATCACAGTTTGCCGAAGTGGTTACAGGTACAAACTTTCTATAATGCATTATCTCTTAACATTAAAATCACTCTAGATGTAGCTGTAGGTGGATCTTTTGAAAGAAAAGAAATTGATGAGGCATATGACTTGATAGAAGAGATGGCAAGCAATAGTCATTACCAAAATAGCTCCGAAAGAAAGAAGTCTTCATTACCGAAAATAAGCTCCCGAAAGAAAGAAGTTCCTAACAAGAGTCCTAATGAAATAGCTGCCATTAAAGCAGACTGCAATGCCAAGGTAGATATATATGTTGGTAAGAAAAGTTGGATCTTATTGACTAATAACCCTGTCAATTCTAATTATGCAAGTTTGGTGGAAGGTGTTAATGGCAACATGGATTGAGAATGCAATGACTAGAAGTCGTTTAAATAGAATGTAAATGAAACTATTGTGATGAATCAAGGGAAGGAATAATATGCATAATATAATTTTATGATAACAGATTGAGGAATCACCCTAAATCTTTCGTATGGGAACCCCAACAACGCCCTTGAATGCACCACAGTGTTTTGCCTTGAATGCACCACCAGGTTTTATACCTCAAGAGAAAAAATCTCATGATGATCTCTTTATTGCCCTTTCTAAATCGCACATGGACTTCATGAACAAAACCAGAGAAAACAACAAAATCCAGTAAGCTGTGATAAGAAACTTGGAGATTCAGCTAGGACAGTTTACAAACATGATGGCATCCAGAGCTCAAGGTAAGTTACCTTGTAATACCGAAAAGAATCCTAAAGAGCAGGTACAAGCTATCACCTTGAGAAGTGGCAAACAGTTAGAAGACCGCCAAAGATAGAAAAGAAAAAGGAAGAGCAGAAAAAAGTTCCCATCATTGAACTAGAAGAGCAAGAGGAAGTAAAACCCTATGTTCCACCTGTTCCTTTTCCACAAAGGTTAAAGAAAGCACAAGATGACAAAAGCTTCCTCAAATTTCTTCCAAAATTTCTTCTGACTTGTCTTCAAAAGCTTTCAAATCAACATCCCTTTTTATTGCAGCTCTCAACTCAAATGTCCCAGCTAATTGCCAACATTTTAAAACAGAGTTCTACAGCAAGAAAACGAAAAAATTGATGGATTCAGGAACAGGTTAATTTTAACTGAGGAGTGTAGCAATCGCCAATATTCAAAAATAAATTGCCTCCAAAGTTAAAGATTCAAGAAGTTTTCTATCCTTGATACTTGGTAATACTAGCTTATTGAAAAACGCTTTTAGCAGATCTGTAGGTCGCTAGCATTAACCTTTATGTCTTATGAGTTTTTTTTAAGATGCTAGGGATGGAGAGCATGTTAAACAACAAGGAGTATCTCTTACAATTGGCAGATCAATCAATCAAATATCCAAGGAATTGTTAAAGACGTGCTGTAAGGTAAGGAAATTTATCTTCCCTTCTGATTTGTTATCTTGACGTGATGAAGATAGAGAAGGATCCTTAATCCTTGGAAGACACCTTCTTTGCAACTGGCAAGAACTTTCTTGCAACTGCAAGAGCATTGATTGATGTATATGAGGGCAAATTAACTTTGAGGGTTGGTCAAGAGGAAATTGTTTTTGATGTTCTTAAATCCTGTAAACTTCCTATGGATTTTAATGACTGTTTTAGGATTGATGTCGGTGATGAATGTCTGAAAGACACTTTACATATTAAAACTAAAGATGACATTAATAATTCAAACATCATGAATAAGGAAGAAAGTGAACCACGAAAGCAAGAACTAAAGCAACTTCCATCTCATTTAAAACATGCATTCTTAGATGAGAATAATTCTTTTCTGGTTATTATTTCTTCTCACTTAACACTTGATCAAGAGGAAAGGTTATTACAGGTTCTTCGAAAACATAAGAAAGCTTTAGGGTGGTCAATTTTAGATTTGCAGGGAACAATTTCAGATTTGCAAGGAATAAGTCTAAGTGTGTGCATGCACAAGATCTTGATAGAGGAAGATTATAAACCTTCAATTGAGCATTAAAGAAGATTGAACCCAAACATGAAAGAAGTAGTCAAGGCTGAGATCATAAAGCTTTTTGGATGCTGGTATTATTTATCCAATTTTCGATAGCAGTTGGGTAAGTCCCGTTCAAGTTGTCCCAAAAAAAGGAGGTATGACAGTTATTTCTAACAAAAATAATGAACAACAACAATGAGTTAATTCCCACTCGAAGAGTCATAGGTTGGCATGTGTGCATTGATTATAGGAAGTTGACCAAAGCAACAAGCAAAGATCACTTCCCTTTACCCTTTATTGATCAAATGCTTGAAAGACTTGCAGGTTATCCCTATTATTGTTTTTTGGATGGTCATTCAGGATACTTCCAAATACCTATTACTCATGAAGATCAAGAGAAAACCACTTTCACTTGCCCTTATGGTACCTTTGCTTATAGGAGAATGCCTTTTGGATTATGCAATGCTCCTGCAACTTTTCAAAGATGCATGATGTCTATATTATCTGACATGGTTGAAAAATTTATTGAAATATTCATGTATGATTTTTCTATGTTTGGTTCCTCTTTTGATACACGTCTTTATAACCTATCTTTAGTTATGCAGCGATGTGAGGACACTAACCTTGTTTTAAATTGGGAAAAATGTCATTTTATGGTTAGTGAAGGTATTATTCTAGAGCATAAAATCTCACAAAAAGGAATTGAAGTGGATAAAGCCCAAATCGAGGTAATTGAAAAGTTACCTCCTCCAAATTCAGTGAGAGGAATAAGGAGCTTTCTTGGCCATGCAAGATTTTATAGGAGATTTATCAAGGACTTATCCAAAATCACAAAACCTCTTTGTAATTTATTAGTTAAAGATGTCCCTTTTGATTTTGACATTTGAATGTTTTTACAGGTTTGAAGACAAGAGTTGATTCGCACCTATCATTGCTACACCAGAATTGGAATCTTCCCTTAAACTTACATGTGTTTGATAGTAGTTGATCATGTTGTTGGGCTGTTCTTGGGCAAAGAAAGGAAAGAAGTTGCACGTCATCTTTTATGCCTAGTCGCGCATTTGAATATGAAAATTTAAAATTATGCCACCACTGAAAAAAACTATCTAGCTATTATTTTCGCTTATTGATAAATTTAGGGGCTTATTTTTATTGGAGCTTAACAACAATAGTTCTAACACTGAGCTAAAACAATAGTCTACACTGATCACTCTGCCATTAAGTATTTATTAGAAAAGAAAGATGCAAAGCCTAGATTAATCCATTGGGTTCTTCTTTTATAGGAATTTGATCTAGAAATTCGCGATGAAAAAGGAACCAAGAACCTCGTAGCAGGCCACCTATCCAAGCTCGAGCTAGGGGAAGAAGAGCAAACAGAATTACAAATCAATGAAGACTTCCCCCATGAACATCTTCTCCTCTTAGCAAAAACACAAGCTCCATGGTATGCCGATATAGTTAACTACCTTGTTTGTAAAATCACTCCTCCCAATCTTTCTTATCAACATCTCGATGCGACATGAGATGCCTTTAAACAGTATCCTTGAAGTAGAGATCTTCGATGTTTGAGGCTTAGATTTCATGGGACCTTTTCCATCATCTTTCTCCAACCAATACATTTTAGTAGCGGTGGACTATGTCTCGAAGTGGGCGGAAGCTGTTTCCCTTCCCAATAATCATGCCAAAAGTGTGATGAATTTCATCAAGAAATATATTTTCACACGTGAAGGCACCCCAAGAGCAATAATCACAGACGGAGGTAAGCACTCTTGCAACAAGTACTTAGATTCCCTTCTTTCAAAATATGGTGTTACTTATCGTGTATGTACTCCATATCATCCTCAAACTAGTGGACAAGTGGAAGTCACTAATAGCAAAATCAAAAATATTCTGGAGACCACAGTTGGACAATCTAGGAAGGACTGGTCTAAGAAACTTGATGATGCTCTATGGGCTTATAGAACTGCATTCAAAACACCAATTGGTTTCAAAACACCAATTGGTATGTCTCCATATGGAATGGTCTATGGTAAGGCTTGTCACCTCCCTGTTGAGTTGGAGCACAAGCCATATTGGGCAATCCAATTTCTTAACTTTAATGCTAAGGACGTTGGTCAAAAACGGTTGCTTCAATTAAATATGATGGATGAAATGCGACTCCATGCTTATGAGAATGCCAAAATCTATAAGGACCTCACCAAACAATGGCATGATAAGCACATTATCATAAGGAATCTAAAGGTAGGACAACAGGTATTGCTCTATGTTTTCGCACCACCCCCGAGCGATCCAAAAAGCCGTCCAACTTTTCGTTTTGAATGGAAAAGTGATGGAATTTTGAACAAGTGGTGACAAAACACTTTTTGGATGCGCTGCCGATAAATCGGTCTTACAAAACATTTTGAGTCGCCACCCATTATTTCGACAATGGGACCGTTTCCAATTTTATTTTATATTATAAAAAATGACTCCATTTTTAAACCCACTTTTATTTAAAGGCCAAATTATTTTAGAAAATCCTGGTCAAGCGCACCTCAGGCGATTCTGGGTAAAGGAATTGGGTAACGTCGGCCCGTTGGAAGCCGACGGCCCGGAAATCGGCTTTTAAACTACAACTTTCTAATCTTATATTTATAGATTAGGAAGCCAATTTTATTTATTAACCCCAACGGCGAACTGAACTCGAACCGAGTTCTTTAATATCGGAAATTATTTATCGTTCCCAATTAAAAATCAATCTCTGCATCTACTCATCCAAATCATCCCAAATCATCCAAATCACTCCAACCCAAAGCAATTTAAATTCAAATAAATAAACAGACCTGCTCTTGGACCTTTAATGGTTAAAGGCGAGGCCACAAACCGAAACATATAAAAATACATTCTACCCGAATTTGAATCCCAAAAAACCCCCTAAAACCCCCGAATCCATGCATTAATTACATTTTAATTGTTTAACTTAATTTAAAATATAAATCTGTCCCATTTGGTTGTCCTTCGGAAATTTAAATTAAACCCCAAACACCTAAAAGGCGCGGCAAACTAGAAAAGGGAAAGAGCCCAGCACTACTTCAAGAAAAGCTTATGCTTGGTAAAGGGCGCTGAAGAAACCCACATAAACACTAACAGAAACAATTGCAATAAACTGAAACACGATAAAAGGGTGTAAAGTGCTCTTATTGTTATTTTTCCCTCTGCTTATCCATCCTAGTCTCTATGTTCTTATTTGGGTGTGATAGGCGCAACTCAATACGGAAAAGCACAAGCCTGTTATGAAACGCAGCCCCACCCATGCCCAGGGAAAACTTGCACCTTCAGTGTGGTTTCTGGGCCGGGGACCCCGGCAAAGCTGCCTCCATACATGTACTAATACTGTGTGAGCCCAACTGTAGGTCCCCGAATTGCGATTGAGATCCTTGTCTCCCGGTAAGTGGCGCAAAAAGCAGATATTCTGGCTCTGGTATTTCCCTTGTTCCCTGTATTACCGGTTTTATGTTTCTTTGGCATTCTCTTGGGTGCTTTTAGCAGAGAACTAAAAATAAGCGAGCTCACCCGGTATTTGATCTCCAGAAGCGGAAAGCTTGTAATTTGGCGTTGCAGGGCAATCCTTATAATGTACCAGTTACGCAATAAATGTGACGGCGGATTGCAGAATGTTCCCAAGTTCCCATAGTTCCACCTGTTGGCGGATAAGCCATATGTCCCTCGGACCGGAATCTAACTGGATGCCGTGAGCACTGTCTTGGTGGTCCCGGGGAAACCGTCGATTCTGACTAAAAGAATACAATGGTGCGTTGGTTGGCTTTTACCAATTTTAAAAAAAAAATAATATCGAAATTTTTAGGGATAAATGCTTCGAGAATTAAATAACAAGTAGTGGAGCGCGGTTTTCCTAGGTTATTCGTAGCCTTTATATAATGTTATAATGGAATATCAAAGGCAGTGCCCTTACTATAGATGCGGGCGCCCCGCAATCAAACTCCCCGAAAAATGATCCAAAGCAATAGACCGTTGAAAAAATTGACAACCTTCTTACTAATTAGAGAAAGGAGTGCACACAATGCAAACCTCCAAACCCAACCTATCATTATACCTCAAATAATTTAAATTAAAAATTAACTTAATAATTAGTAATTACACCGTGAGTAACAAAGAAATCCAATTCCGTAAAGCTCGAAATTGCCGGCCTCATTAATCCCTCTCAATTATATCTAATTTAAAAGTAAAGTGGCAATTTTACTTTGCCCTATGATATTTAAAGTAAAAGTACAACGCTTTCATTATAGGAAGATGTAGGAGTATGTGATTAAGCGCATTTCTGGATAGAGCAGAGAGGCACTCCCTTCTATAAAATCCTTCACTTTAGCGAAACTAAATGAATGTCCGCCGTCGGGGGTTTTTCTCTGTGCAGCAATTTGTTTAATCAACAGGAAAGGGAAGTGTTGTAGAAGGACTTAAAAGCAATAACTGCCACTTAGCCTTTGTGACCACGGAGCCCGCACGAAAGGGCTCCCATTAGAAGTCAAGGTAGAACCGCGGTGCTGTCCTGGCTTTGATTGCTCCGCATCGACACCACAAACAAATCAGTGGAAGGGCATTCACTTACCGGGCTTACTCGAACTTGGAATATCTCGAGTGTCGCTTATTGTACCTCTACATGTGTACATTATCCTCCTTCCCCTTTCTCTTTGAGACATCCATATAATATCAACACACTCAGGGAACCGAAATCTGAATCTCTTAACTCAAAGCCCTCCAAGCAAGCCGGCGGTGTCCCAAATAGATATCCTCCCACTTTCCCTATAACCAAGTGGACTCAGAGTGCCGTGCATTTAGGACGTTAAGGCCTAAGTTGAGATCTGTATCATATTGGATCCTTCGGGAACCATCACAAGTACCCGGGCCAGGCCTCTATTTTGAACGAAAATTGCCGTGTACGTCCAGCGAGAGCCTAGAAGACGGTGGACTCGCGCAGACAGGCTGACTTCCTTTATCAATTAGAAAGGAATAGCCAAACCAAACCCAGCTTGTTCTGGTCCGCCATTCCATTCAGTGCCGATCTTTATCTGGCCTGTTCATAAACATTTGGAAGACGGGTTATTTCGATCCTCAAAAGAGAATTCCCCTGACCTGTAATCTCTCGTTCAGCCAAGCCAAAAGAGGTTTCTGCTACCTATATTTCCCGATTGAACCCGCCGCGAAGAAAAATCCAACTTTCTTTTCTGACTCAAATATACATTCATACCAATGCCTATACCGTAAAAAGTTCAGCGCGCCACCAGGTCAGCACGACCATGATTTGTTGCATATTGATTGAGTTTCTCCTTCAAACGAACTCAAAAGAGCTTTTGGAGGAGAATCTGGCCGCACAATGCGTTTTAGGGTTTCTTAAAAATCGTCCCGAATTGTTCAGAAGTTTCCCTTTTACGTGAGAAAAAGAAATCTATTTATATAAGTAGGGCACAGAGCATAACTGCGTGATGCAGCCGTTAGTTGCGTGACGCAGCTTACTTGCTGTATCAGAGCTATATGTCATTAATACAAAAACGGCATGTAGTCTAATATAGCTGCGTGACGCAGCTATGACCCAGTCAGACACTTAAAATTGATTTTATTTAAATCCTTGGATTAAAAGACTAAATTGATTTTATTTAAATCCTTGGATTAAAAGACTTCTAGGTAGAATTAACCTTTCATTCCACATCCTCGTATCATCATTGGATTAGGTGGGGGCATAAAAACACGCGTCAACACTCTATAACTCCAGACTCCATCTCTTTTGAGGTAAGTTACACTCTAGATGGTCTTGCCCATTCACGATCAAAGAAATTTTTCAACATGGGGTCATTGAAATAGTGGATGGTGATAGGAGTTTCAAAGTCAATGCTCAACGCTTAAAGGTTTATCAAAATGAAAACTTTGACCCAGTCAAAAACACCATCAGTCTTGTTTAGCCTAAACCTGGTTTAGTGCGTCGAGCTTAACGGCGTTAAACAAAAGCGCTTGTGGGAGACAACCCATATTATTTTCTTAAACCTTCTTATTTTAATTTATTTTTGTTATTTCTATTATAAATTTCCCAAAACTTTTTCCATAATTGTTCTTCTGTTTTAGTAAATATTCTTTCAGGTGCAAGTTGAAGTCCATAAGATAGCACGCCCTAGCCGTGCTCATCAACACGGCCGTGCTTCAAAAAGGTGAACATCACTCTCGAAGGTCAGAGGCTAGCATGCCCTGACCGTGTTCATCAGCACAACTGTGCCTCAAAGAGGTGGGAAACAGCCTTAAAGGTCAGAGGCTAGCACGCCCTGATCGTGTGATACAGCACGCCCGTGCTAATATAAGGCAAGGAATTGCAGCTTGCACGCCTAAGCCGTGCCCAAGGACATGCTCGTGCGTCAAGAAAGGAGAAAGTCATTTCGCAAGTCAGAACCGCGCATGCCCTTGCCGTGCCCTCCAGCACGCCCATACTAGGTAAGCCAAAGTTTTCTTCTACAGGTCAAAGGCACACACACCCCAGTCGTGCTTCCCAGCATGCCCATGCTCGCAAACTGCCTCAGAGAGTCAGAAGCACGCACAGCCAGGCTGTGCCAGTTAACACGACCTGGCCACGTTCAGACATGCGCATTAAAACGCGCCTCTATTTAAAGGGCACGCCCTCATTCCCTTCTTTTCCCAAACCGCACGCCCTAGCCGCCTCCTCCCTTTTCTCTATTTTTCTCTCTTTTTCTCTCAACCCAAACACACCAAAACCAAATTTCTTCACCTCTCTCCTTCACCATGCCTCCATACAAGCGCAGCAGACTTGCCTCTTCAGTAGCTGCTACACAATGACCAATTGCTTGATCTTCCGCCACTTCTCCTCCACCCGTTCCACCTCCTACGGCTACTCCTTCTCCATTTGAGATTGACTCACCGGAACAACAAGAAAGGTACAACAAACTTTCTCTTCACCCTATATTGCCAAATAGGTTTATTGATGAGTCTGCACTAGCACAAGTGGGGATTAGGGATGCTGTTTTAGAACCCCTTAGGCATATTGGGTGGGAACAATTTATTAACATGAAAGATCTTATTTATGCACCTCTAAATTTAGAGTTTTTAAATTCCTATTCTTCTGTTATTCGCCTATTTGACTTCCCTAGCAAAATTAGATTCAGGCTGTTTGGGAGAAATTATGAACTTTCTGTAAATGAGGTTAGTCATATATTTGGGTTCCCCACTGAAAATGCTCATAATCGAATATCTACAAACTTTAATGATCGCAGTACATGGAATGATCTGACTGGAGAACATAATTATAATCCTAGGTTTTCGAAAGCCTCAAAATTGAGAAACCCTGCTCTGAGGTATATTCACAATTTCTAGCCAACACTATTTTTGGGAGAAATGAGAGCAATGGGGTATTGAGCCGCAACGAATTATATTTTTTATGGGCAATTGATTTCGGGGGATTTTGTTGCATGTCGATTACTAGCTATGTTTACGATGGGCGAGAGTTGCACGGGCGGATAAAGGAGCTATTATGATGGGGTGTTTTGTAACCCGAATTACAGCATATCTGAAGTTTAGAACCTCGCTAGACCAGTTTTGAGGCAGTGGCGGGCACGGACGTGCACATAGCACGGCTTGGGCGTGTGAGCCTCTGACTTGCAAGAGAAAAATTTATCGCACCTGGCACAGGCGTGTGGATTGGCACGACCCGGGCATGCTAGACTTTGACTTTCAAGACTAAATTCAACAGTTTTGGAGCACGGGTGTGCTGATGAGCACGGTTAGGGCGTGCAAGAGCCTAACTTGTAAGGCCAATCTTCACTTATTAAGCACGGGCGTGCTGTTTGGCATGGTTAGGGCGTGCAGGCCTCTGACCCTCGAAGCAATTCCCACCTTTTTGAAGCACAGGCGTGCTGATTAGCGAGGAAAGGGCATGCTAGAGCCTGTACCTGAAAGAACTTGACTGAAACAAAGGAACAATCATAGAGAAAAGTTGGGAAAAACCATAACAAAAATAACAAAAATAAATTGAAATAAGAAGGTTAAGGAAAAGAATATGGGTTGTCTCCCACAAGCACTTTTGTTTAACGTCGTTAAGCTTGAAAAGCACTTTTGTTTAACGTCGTTAAGCCTTTGAAAGAATAAACCCGATTTAGGTGCTAAGAAAGACTTATTTTGGTGTTTTGGACTAGATCAAGTCCTCCATTTTGGTAAACCTTTAGGGCATCGAGGCATTGACTTTTGAAACTCCGGTCACCATCCACTATTTTTCAATGGCCCCATGTGGGAAAAAATTTCTTTTGATCATGAATTGGGCCAGACCATTAGAGCACAATTTACCTGGAAAAAGATGGAGTCTGTGATTATAGAGCAATACTGGGTTGGCCTACCTTTAAGATTTCTTAGTGATAAGTGCATAATGCCATTGTTTGGTTGTGTACTTTATTAGATTTTGGCATTCTCAAAAAGCATGGAGTCGCATTTCATTCCATCATATTCAATTTTGAAGCAACCGCTTCTGATATTCAATTGAAGCAACCTCTTTTGACCAACTTCCTTAGCATTAAAGTTAAGAAACTGGACTGCCCAATATGCCTTGTGCTCTAACTCAACAGGGAGGTGACAAGCCTTACTGTAAACCATTCGATATGGAGACATACCATTTCGTGTTTTAAATGCAGTTTTATAAGCCCAAAGTTCGTCATCGAGCTTCTTAGACTAGTCCTTCCTTGATTGGCCAACCGTGGTCTCCAGTATCTTCTTGATTTCCCTATCAGTGACTTCCACTTGTCCACTTATTGCAAAAGTGCTTACCTCCATCTGTGATTATTGCTCTTGCAGTACCATGACATGTGAAAATATATTTCTTGATGAAGTTCATCACACTCTTGGCATCATTATTGGGGAGGGCAACAGCTTTCGCCCATTTCGAGACATAATCCACCGCTACTAGAATGTATTGGTTGGGATAAGAGGATGGGAATGGCCACATGAAATCTAAGCCCCAAACATCAAAGATCTCCACTTCAAGGATATTGTTTAATGGCAACTCATGTCGCTTGGAGATATTACCTAACCTGTGACAATGATCATAAAGACGCACAAAATTGAAAGCATCCTTAAATAAGTTAGGCCAATACAAACCACTTTCTACGATTCATGCTGGCGTCTTGCTTGCTCCAAAGTGTCTTCCACATTCCATTAAATGACAGAATCAAAAGACACTTTCCATTTTCTCTTCCGGTATACATCGTCGAAAAAGCCGGTCACTACAATACTTGAATAAAAAGGGCTCCTCCCAATAGTAATATGTAAGATCATGAAAAAAATTTTTCTTTTGTTGATAAGAAAGATTAGGAGAAGTAATCGTGCAAGCAAGGTAATTAACTATATCAGCATACCATGGAGCTTGTGCTTTAGCTAGAAGAAGAAGAAGATTTTCATGGGGAAATTTCTTCATTGATTTGCAATTCTGCTTGCTCTTCTTCCCCAACTCAAGCCTGGATAAATGATCTGCTACAAGGTTTTCAATTCCTTTTTTATCACAAATCTCTAAATCAAATTCCTATAAGAGAAGAACCCAACGAATTAATCTACATTTTGCATCTTTCTTTTCCAATAAATACTTAATAGTAGAGTGATCAGTGTACACTATTATTTTAGCTCCAATCAAATAAGCCCTAAATTTATCAAAAGCTAAATTTAATCAAAAGCAAAAAACCCAATAGCTAAGCAAAAACAATAGCTAGAAGTTCTTTTTTAGTGGTGGCATAATTTAATTATGCATCATTCAATGTGCGACTAGCATAATAAATGACGTGCAACTTCTTTGCCTTTCTTTGCCCAAGAATAGCTCCAACAACATGATCACTAGCATCACATATAAGTTCAAAGGGAAGATCCCAATCTGGTGCAGCAATGATAGGTGCTAAAATCAACGCTTTCTTCAACTTGTTAAAAGCATTCAAACACTTTTTATCAAAATCAAAAGGGGCATCTTTACTTAATAAATTACAAAGAGGTTTTGTGATTTTGGAGAAGTCTTTGATAAATCTCCTATAAAATCCTGCATGGCCAAGAAAGCTTCTTACTCCTCTTACTCTGAATTTAGGGTAGGTAGCTTTTTTAATTACTTCTATCTTGGCTTTATCTTACTTCAATCCCTTTTTTGTGAGATTGTATGCCCTAAAACAATCCCTTCACTAACCATAAAATGACATTTTTTCCCAATTTCAAAACAAGCGTAGTAGTCCTCACATCGCTGCATTACTAAAGAGAGGTTAAATAAGACAAGAATGAAAGCAAGGAACCAAATGCAGAAAAGTCATCTATTACAATATTTCAATGAACTTCTCGAAACCATGTCAGAAAATATAGAACATCATGCAGCTTTGAAAAAGTTCAAGAGCAATTGCACAACCCAAAAGGCATTTTCTCTCCTATAAGCAGGAAAGTTACCATAAGTGGCAAGTGAACTGTAGTTTTTTCTCTTGATGCCCTCGGGAGGAATAGTATTTGGAAATTACCTTGAATAAACCATCCTAAAAAGCAATAATAGGGATTAACTTACCAAGTCTTTTTAAGCATTTGATCAATAAAAAGGTAACAGGAGAAGTGATCTTTTCGGTGTTGCTTTGTTCCAATTTCCTATAATCAATACACACACGCCAACTGTGACATCTTAGTTAGGAGTTAACTCGTACTTTATTATTATAACTAACCTCTGTCTAACCCTCCTTCTTCAGGGACAACTTGGAACAGGATACTTACCCAACTGCTAATCAGATTGGTAGATATGCAACATTGCCACAAAAAGTTTTATGATTCCTGCTATTGACTACCTCTTAATGTGGAGTCAATCCTTCTTGCTATGCTCAATTGAATGGTTGTAGGTCTTCTGTCACCATTGAAGATCTTATGCACTGCACACACTTGGACCTTTTCCCCAGCAAAATCAGAAATTAGACCATCCTAGCGGCTTTCTTATGTTTTCGTAGGAACCTGCCAGGCAACCTTTCCTCCTTGATCAAGTGTTAAGTGAGAAGAAATAAATAACAGGGAAATAATAACAGGGAAAGAATTATTCTCACCTAAGAATGCATGTTTTAAATGAGATGGCAGTTGTTTCAGTTCTTGCTTTGGTGATTCACTTTCTTTCTCATCTATGATTCTTGGATTATTAATGTTATTTTTATCTTTAATATGCAAAGTGTTATCAACACATTCATCAACAACATCAATCCTAAAACAGTCATTATAATCTATGGGAAGTTTACAAGATTTAAGAACATAAAAAACAACTTCCTCTTGACCTACCCTCCTCTTGAGCTACCCTCAAGGTTAACTTACCTTCATACACATCAATCAATGCTCTTACCAATGCTCTGTACAGTTGCAAGAAAGGCCTTCCGCTCTTACAGTTGCAAGAAAGGGCCTTCCAAGGATTAAGGATCCTTCTCTATCTTCATCAATGTCAAGAATAATAAAATCAACAGGAAAGATGAATTTACCAACCTTGACGAGCACATCTTCTACAATTCCTCTTGGATATTTGATTGATCGATCTACCAACTGTAGAGACATCCTTGTTGGTTTTAGCTCTTCCATCCTTAGCATCTTAAAAACTTCATAAGACATTAGACTAATGCTAGCACCTAAATCTGCTAATGCTTTTTCAAAATCAAGATTTCCAAAATTACAAAGGATAGAAAAACTTCCTGGATTTTTAATTTTGGAGGTAATTTATTTTGAATAATTGCACTACACTCCTCTGTCAACATTACCATTCCTTGATAATCTTCCTTTTTCTTGCTCAGGATCTCTTAAGAATTTTGCATAGCTGGGCATTTTGAGCAAGGGCTTCAGCAAAAGTATGTTTGATTTGATTTGAAGCTTTTTGAAGACATCAAGAAATTTGAGGAAGCTCTTGTCATCTTGTGTTTTCTTTAACCTTTGTGGGAAAGGGACAGGTGGAACATAAGTTTTTACTTCCTCTTTCTCTTCTAGGTCAATGATGGGAATCTTTTTTGCTCTTCCTTCTCCTTCTTTGCCCTGTTTGGTTCCTCCAACTGTTTGCCACTCCTCAAGGTGATGGCTTGTACCTGTTCTTTAGGATTTTTTTCAGTATTACTAGGTAACTGACAGTGATTTTCGCAAGTGTACGAAATCGCGACAAGTAATATAGAGTGAGAAAGTATCGTATCCACAGAGATTGTATATCAAGTATCAAAATTAAACCTATTATTATTTTAAACGACAATAAGAGAGATTTGTTATTAAAGAAAGTAAAATTCGAAAATAAAACAGAAGAGATCAAGCAACAAAAACAAAGTCAGGTGAAAAGAAACCAAGGAATTTGAACTACTAGGGAATTT